AACAAAGATGTTGTGTCCACCGAAAACTAAAAAAAATAAATATTAAAATATTCTCTCTCTCTTTAAAAAAAAAAGAACCCAAAAAACTTAATAACCAAATAACCCAATCAATAAATGAGCTAAGGAACTGAACACTTCAAAGAAGAAATACAATCAATCAACAAACTATGAAAAAATGTTCAACATCTCTAGCGATTAGAGAAATGCAAACCAAAACTCTTAAGATTTCATCTCACTCCAGTTAAAATGGCAATTATCAAGAATACAAGTAACAATAAATGCTGGCAAGGATGTGGGGAAAAAGGAAACTCATACATTGCTGGTGGGAATGCACATTCCTGCAACCACTAAGGAAAGCAGTAGAGATTCCTCAGAAAACTTAGAATGGAACCACCATTTGACCCAGTTATCCCATTCCTCAGTTTATACCCAAAGGACTTAAAAATCAACACAGTACAGTGATGCAGTCACATCGATGTTCATATTAGCTWTTTACAATAGCTAAACTATGTAACCAACCAAGATACCCTTCAACAGATGAATGGATAAAGAAAATGTGGTATATACACACAATGGAATATTGCTCAGGCTTAAAGAATGAAATTAGGGCATTTGCAGGTAAATCAATGGACCTGGAGAATATCATGCTAAGCGAAGTAAGCCAATCCCCCTAAAACCAAAGGCCAAATGTTTTCTCTGATTAGTGGATGTTCATCCATAATGGGGGGGGGGGGGTAATAAGGAAAGAATGAAGGAACTTTGTGCAGAAGGAGTGAGGGAAGGGGAGAAAGTGTGGGGATGGAAAGGACAGAGGAATGAGATAGACATTATTACCCTATACACACTACCAGTGTGACTCTGCACCATGTTCAGCCAGAGGAAAGAGAAGCTATGTTCCATTTGTGTACAGTGTATCAAAATACATTCTACTGTCATGTACAACTAGTTAGAACAAATTAAAAGTAAATTTAAAAAAGAAAAAATACACAAGACATGAAAAAGCATGAAAATATGGCCCTTATCAAGAGAAAAAAAAAACATCAATAGCAAATTTAGATCCACAGATAATCTAAATGTTGAAGCAGAATAAGAATTTAGAGCAAAAGATTGGCAAAAATGGGTTAAAAGGATACAGAATATCTGCAGAGAATTAAAAGCTGTAAAACAGGTCCAAATTCTGAAATTTCAAAACTAAAGAAAAAAGAGTTTCAATTACTTAGTAATTACTAGGTAGGCTAAATAGGAGACTGGGGTACCTCAGGAAAAAAGATAGATGGACTAGAAAACAGCTTATTAGAAATGATCTAAAATGAAGTACAAAGGAATAAAGAATTAAATGAAAATAAGAACATGCCATAACTTATAGGAAAATAGTCAACAGTCTAATAGATTTCTCAGGAGCTCCAGTAAGAAGGGAGAACTGTGCAGAGGAAATATTAATGAGTTAGAATCTGCCAAAACTTACAAAATACACAACTACAGATCCATAAACCCAGAAGTCTAGAGCCAGTAAGAATATCCTTCACATATTAARAAATTATAAAAACATTTTTGAATGAACAAAAACTAGAGAATTTATTTCCAGTAAATCTATACTACAAGAAATTTTTAAAAAGTTCCTCCTGGAGAGTGCAAGGTT